CCGGTGGAGAAGTCAGCACAAATGCAAATCGAGCCATTGGGCTTCTTAACCACAACGATTGGAGCGGCCCAGGCGGAGTAGGATACAGGAACCGGAACTCCCAATTCATCTAAACGCTTCAGTTCAGCTTCGACAAGTGGAAGGGCTGCATATGGAACTGGTCGCCTTGGACGGAATACTGGTTGACTTCCTGGAGACAGATGTAGCACGGCTTGAGTGTATGTGCAGCGACCCAGACCGTCTCGGAACACTGGAGCAAACCGCTGGAGAATGTCCTTGGCTTGGTCTGCAAGCATAGCGGAAATCTGCATCTGACTGCAAACAACGCGGAGCGGCATATCGGCCAATCCAAGTTTTTCAATCCAGTAGAGACCAAGTAGGTTGAGGTCAGACTTGGTGATGTAGCAGATCGCAGTGATGCTGGTACCACGGAACGACACACAGCATTGCAGTTGCCCAATTAGCTGTACGAGACCACCACACGCGCTTGTGGCGGACTGGGAAGTCTGCTGGATCGTGGGGCTGCCAAGAGACTGGTTATATCTGAGGCAGTGTCCAACTGTAGGCGAACTACATGGCCAGTGAGCAAAACTTCAACAAACTTTCTACGGCCAGACGCATTGAGCTGGAAAGCGGCCAAGAGACTGAGAGAATTACTAACGGACTGGGGTTTGGGATTGCGTTTTGGCCGGAAACGGTGCCTGGAATTAGGAGTGGCGGGGGCTGGCTTGCCTCCAGAAGTTGGTAATGATTTGCAGAACCCATCACGGTGACCGACCTAATTACAGCTTTGGCAGGGATACTGGCGGAAAATGCAATCCCGGTGGAAGTGCCACGCGCCACAGTGCCGACAAGGAGATTACGGAGATCTCGCCTTGGACACTTGTTTGGGTCGTGTAACAGGATGCGATTTGGTCGATGTGACCGTATGGACTGAATCATTGCAGAGTCGTGCTTGAGATTGATCAGCTTTCGGCACTCTGCTGCCAGCTCTTGAAGTGTGACTGAGTTGCTCTGCTGCACTTTGGACAGGAGACGTGTCCGGATATCAGCATCCTTGAGGGACTGGAGGCCGCAGATAAATATAAGGCATTTAAACTGGTCTTCAGTAAGAGAACCGAGTTGAAAACGCCCACACTCACGATTGCCAATGCCCGCATACGTGATAAGATCATTGGAGTCGCGTTTGAACAGCTGAAGACACTGAAATCGAGTGTTGAAAAGGGATGATTGAACACCAAAAATCTGCGACAACGTCTCAACAGCGTACTTGAAAGCGAATTCTTGTGGATTCTTGGGGAAGATGAAGTTTGCATAACGTTCTTGTTCAGCCGGACCCAGTTTGCGAAGTAGGAGTCGAACCTTCCATGCATCGTCCTGGGCAGCCAGATCGACAGAGAACAAGTCCTCGTATCGTTTGTACCAGGAATCAAAGGTGATATGGGCCTGCGGGTCATACAGGAATTCAGTGATGCTGCCGGCAATGTGATCAACAGATTGCGAACCACCAGCCGCACTTGATTGACCCATGGACGAGTTGGACAGCTTAACGGTGAGTGCTACCATTAGCTTCAGCTGCTGCCGCAACATCTGCTTCAAGTCTGCGTACTCGTCAGCCATTGTAGTTGAAAAAACTGCGTCGCCAATTTGTTATGACCCGCCTGGTACTTGAAATCCTGTGGAGCGTATGCGCACTCGACCCTTGTCCCCAATACCAACGCGGCAGAGAAGGAGAACGCGACCGGCCACGAAAATGTGTATTAGGAAATTGCAAGTCGAAATTAACTGGAAGTAACGCATATTTATAACGCCCTACTGTGCTTCGCCGGCGTTCGGCCCAATGCCCTTCGGGAAGAACATTCGAGACGAGCCAGTCGATAATTCGAATATGCTGATCGATCAGGCCGGCAAGGAAAAGCCAGTGGAGAGGCTCCACGAGTAAGATAACAGCGCAGTAGAGAAAACGCACGTGACCTCCCGTGATTGGCTGGCTCTTGTTTTTGGGAGTGAAGGCACTCCCAACAAAATAGACGAGTGGGTAGAGGGGCACTCCTGGTCTGTGTACCTTGGGCGGACCGTCAAAGCTTGATATGGCAGTGTCATTGACTTTTGTTAACAGCGCTTCTCTTCTCACGAGGACGTCAACTTTCTTTCACTTGCTAACCGTCTTGTTTTTGTTGTTTTAAGGCTTTTTGAACTCGCTGACAGCCGGAAGCACATAAGATTCACTGCTCATTCACAGGTTCCCCAGTTTAATTCAGTATTCGGTCTTATCCATGACGGTGTGTAGCTCCCCGTGTCAACGGGCAGGGTGAAGATATTCTTTACTTTTCGTATCCCGAGAAGTTCCCAATCTTCTGCGTTTGAAATCGTCATCAGGGGTTAGTGCTTGCGAAGTATGAAAGAAACCTGTTGCTGCATGGTGTGTTTGCACTCTTCATATACCTTGTACTTCTGGTGTGATTATTCGAAGGATGCAATGAAGTCTTCCGGTCGAGCATCTTTCGTGCTAAACTTAATATCAGTGGATAAAACCGCTAGCCGTTGCTGCGTGAGGCGATGGGAGGACAGGTTGCGAACCAGGAAACTAGCAGAGGATGGCTGATTCGGCGGACTTTTTTTCCTGAATTCCTTGAGCAGTCGATCATCGAGTTGATCCATTAGAGTAATTGTCTCATATAATTTCAGGGTTGTGTATGCGGCAGTCGTTGGTACATCATAGTATTGCAGGCACTTGAAGGTAGCTGAAACCAACGTGAACCTTGTTCCTGTTTTCGGACGCTTGGATTCAGCCGTAATGATACTGTCGCAGATTCGTTTCAGTTGATTTTTCTTATACACATATTTGCTAGATGTTCACCTTTGGACCTCAGCCTATCATCAGTCGTGGAAAAAACCGACGGTAGGGTTTAAGACAATAATCCCCCACGACCAGAAATGTTTCACAAAACCTAAGCTCATATTTAGCGGCCGAGGGCGTCAAGGATAGCACACATTGAGGTACGAAGCGCCCGGAATAGATCATGTCTAAGACCGATCTGAATAGAGTCGTTAACATGCCACAATACTCATCCATACTGAAGAGAAGAAGAAACGTTAGGTTAGCAAGGCGGTATAGTCGGAAGAGATAGGAGCTGGGAATACATACAGCAGTAGTTAATTGTGCAAACGGGACGAGTTACACCAGGGAATTGACGCGTCTGGATGATGAGGTGGCGCTGGAATGCCAGCAGAATAACCGGTGGAGGATGCAGCACTGTGGGCAACTGTAGGGGAGGGCCGAGGGAGGTGCCGACGTCGAGAGGGAGAGAAAGCGTGCTGTGCGAGCGTTGGAGAGAGTTGCGGGGAGGGGGTCGGTAGTAGAGCGAGGGAAGTGAACCAGCCGTCTTCACCGACACGCAGTTACACCATCACCATCCTAGGTCCACACAGGAAGTGTAGATTCACTCAAACAACTCTAACCTGCCAGCACATGGTCCCTTCATAGGCGGCGCTGGGAAGGGGCTGGGTAGGGCCAGAGCCCCCTCTGGATTGAAACATTTTGAAACCTATTTGCATCGAAAGTTATGTTACACAAGCACCACTCATTGTACCTTCTTTGGCATTAAAAGGAGCTAATTTATCAAAAGTAGCTTATAAATCATTGAAAAAGCCTTCGTTTATGCCAACGGGTCGCGGATAATATCGGGCATCAAACAATGCTGTTTTTATGCTCTTAATAATTCTCTTAGTTAATTTATGTATCTTATGCTACTTGTTTGGGTACTTACTCACAAACCAGTTCAAGTAGTCGACTTGTATGTCTATGTATGTACTAGTTAGCATTGGTGTTCACAGTCAACTTATGCAAATTTTTAAATAGTTTTTTTACTGAATATTAAAGCAATTATGAACCGTAATTACCGTGGCTCTCACCGACAGTTCGACCGTCGATTTCGACGATGCCCACCGTGTGCCCCACAGCTGCAGAAGCGGTGGGAGCTGGGACGGTGACTTGCGCAGGGGTTTATAGTGCGGGTAAACTTGCGCTGCATCTACCTACACTCTCTCCTCCTCCCCCGCCTGGGCCCGGTGTCAAGACAGAGTCAAGAAGACCGGAGACGAGGAAGGCCGCAGGTGGATGGCTCGGACGGATCCTCACCTTGGCGTTCCACCACACCCCCTGGTCTACACAACAATAATCAGGATATCAACCAACACGAGAGAGATTTGGAGGCTGGCACGGTCGAAGCCGCACCTGGGCGTGCCGCCAACGCCTGGCTCGGATCCCACACTGCGGTGGGAGTGCCATAAAGGCCACATTAAAAAGGAGCCATTGCAGCCTGACTCTCAGACCGCCTCCAGTGAAGGAGGAGGTCCAAGGTACCCCGTCAGTTGGCAACCTTCCAAGCCACGGCTTTTAGCGCACCGTGATAGCTTCAAGCGCGTCAGATTGTTTATAGTGAGGGGAAAGTGCGCTGAGTCGTCGACCTCACTCTCCCTTCCCACTCCCACACCCCAGCCGCTGTCCGAGCCGGTCAGCAGACTGGAGTGGGGAGTGGGCGCGGTGGCTGTCATGGTCGACGGACCATGACTGCGCGCGCCACAGCAAGTCCAGGCCCCCCATACACACACAAACACCAGGATTTCACACAACGGGGGTTATACGGCGTGTCTCTCACTTGCGTGAGAGTACTGTGGATGGTGCTGCTTCAGCCCGTTCCCAGACCACCAGTCCGCCACTACACACAACACACACACACAACGTGACGAACTGCGTGAACCGAGAGCGGGCCTCAATCAGCAACCTTCCTATCCACGACGTTTGACGTGTCGGGATAGTCTCGGACACAAGTCACCCGTGCAGCCGAAGCCGCATGGGGATCGAGTCGAGATGCACACTTCCCACTTGCGTGGGAGGCGGCAGTTGAGTGCATGAGGTGTGTGAGTGTTGATGTCTGGTGGGGTGATGGTGTTAGGAGGTAGGGAGTGACGGAATGTGTGGTGTGACCGGCGGTTGTCTACCGCAGGTCGTCGTGGATGCGCATGTAGCCGAATAGACCCATGCGATGCGTGAAGGTGCGAGGGCAGTGTGGGCAGTGGAGGCGAGTGCGGCGGGTGTAGGTTGGTGCTCCAGGCACTGGTTCGCCAGTCTCTGTGCGATGGATTCGCAAGTGACCGACCAGGCCGATGCGTGAGGTGAAGGTGCGGTCGCAGTGAGGGCAGGTGTAGTCCTGATCCTCATCACTGGAATCGGGAGGGGTGGGGGTGGTTGCGGTTGTTGTGTCGTGGTTGGCGATGTGTGAGACGGCAGCCTGAACGGCCACCGCTGGGGCAGTGGAGGAGAAGGAGGAGGATGGACGTGGTGGTGCAGAAGGAGTGTCAGAGTTATTTGGCGGCAGAGAGGACGAGGAAACGGCGGGCTGGGGGACGATGGCTGGAGCAGTTCGAGAGGTGCAGTTGGTTCGAAGGTGTCCAACAAGTCCGATTCGTGCTCGGAATGTCCGTTGACATCGAGGACACGTAGGGAGCGGTTGTGCGGCGGCGTTGCGTGTTGGGCGAAGTTGTGATTTGCTGGCTTCACGTTTGGCTTTGGTGGCGGCGATGCGGTTGGATTCGTAGATAGCAGCGCCCGTCTTCACTGTTATCCTTCATGTCGGACGATCGCGGGCGAGCTCTTCCCATTTGGTCGGGTTGATTTGCAGGCGCTTCAGGGAGGACTTCAGAGTATCCTTGTAACGGCGAATTTGGCCTCCTTGACGACGAGAACCCGTCGCGACGTCTCCGTAGAAGAGTCGTTTGGGTAGTCGCTCGTCGTCCATGCGCACCAGGTGGCCGCTCCAGCGCAGCTGCATTTGTCGCAGTATGGCGTAGATGCTGAGGATTCCCGTTCGTTCCAGTACTTCCGTGTCGGGGATTCGATCCTGCCAGTTCAGCCTCAGGATGCGACGGAGACAACTGAGGTGAAAGTGGTTCAGTCGGCGTGCCTGTCTCGTGTACACCGTCCATGTCTCTGCTCCGTACAGTAACGTCAGCAGGATGACGGCCTTGTACATCTTCAGCTTTGTGCTCAGTTGGAGACCGTGGCGATTCCAAACTGTGCTTTGGAGGCGTCCGAAGGCTTGACTGGCTTTCGAAATCCTGTTGGCGACTTCGTCATCAATCTTGGTGTTGCGGGAGAGGGTACTGCCCAGATACGGGAAGTTCTCCACCTCTTGCAGTTGGGTTCCGTTCACGCTGATTTGCGGCGGCGCGTTGGGGGCTGTGGCTGAGTTGGGCGGCGGTTGGTGCATCACCACCGTCTTCTGCGTGCTAATGACAAGACCGAAGTTCTCGCAGGCGGCGGAGAATAGGTCCATGCTCCGTTGCATCTCCTCTTCCGAGGTGGTGTTCAGGGCGCAGTCATCGGCGAAGATGAGTTCGTGCACGGTGGCTGTGGATACACGCGATTGGAAGTTCATGCGCCGTTGATTCAGGAGATGACCGTCCGTTCTATAGGCGATGCGGATTCCAGGGAGTTCGTCGCGGTAGGCGTCCATCAGCATGGCAGAGAACATAAGACTGAAGAGGGTAGGCGCCAACACACAGCCCTGCTTCACTCCGTTGGTCACTGCGAATGCCTCTGAGACAGCTCCGTTGTCCGTGACTCGCGCCATCATACCGTCGTGCGGCTGACGCACCATCTGAGTGAATCGCTGCGGACAGCCGAATTTCTGCATGATCTTCCACAATCCTTCACGATTCACCGTGTCGAAGGCTTTCGTCAGGTCCACGAAGGTAGAGTACAGGTGGGTCCGCATCTCCTGACACTTCTCCTGAAGATGGCGGGCTGCGAAGATCATATCCGTGGTCCCACGATGACGACGGAAGCCGCATTGGCTTTCCGGCAGAAGGCCCCGTTCCAGATGGTTATTGAGGCGGTTGAGCAGGATGCGAGCGAAGATCTTCCCGGCGATGTTCAGTAGGGAGATGCCGCGGTGGTTGTCGCAGACTTGGCGAGTCCCTTTTCGCTTGTATAGGTGCACGATAGTTGCGTCCTTGAAATCTTGCGGGGCTTCACCTTGACGTCACATCTCCTGGAAGAGGGCAGTCAGGTGATCCATCAGTTGGGGACCTCCGTGCTTGTAGACCTCAGCAGGGATTGCGTCCGATCCGGGTGCTTTTCCGCTGGAGAGTTGCTGCACGGCCCTGATGGTCTCCTGGAGAGATGGCGGGAGGTCGAGGTCCACGTTGGTCTCCACTTGCGGCAAACGCTCGATGGCGGCGTCGGAGATGACGGAAGGGCGGTTGAGGACGCCTCGGAAGTGCTCGGCCCATCGCTGTAGGATTTGCGTCTTCTCAGTCAGGAGAGTGCTGCCGTCGGCGCTGAGGAGAGGAGCGGTGCCCTTCGTCGGCGGACCGTAGACAGCTTTGATCGCGGAGAAGAAGTTCTTCCATTCGTTGCGGTCCGCGTAGCCTTGGATCTCCTCAGCTTTGCGAGCAGTCCAGGCGTCCTGCATCTCGCGCAGTCGTTGCTGAAGTTGGCGGCGACTGCGGTAGAAAGCGGCTTTGTTGGCATCAGTGGGGTGATCTACGTAGGCTTTGTGTAGGCGGTTCTTCTCTGCAAGCAGATTTCTGATGGCAGCGTCGTTGTCGTAGAACCAGTCCTGGTGTTGGCGGGGAGCGCGACCGAGGACGGCGAGCGCCGTCGACTGGACTGTGTCTCGCAGTTGACACCAGCGGTTCTTCACGGAGGCGATCTCGGCAGCGGCGGCGGCGTTGTCGGTGGCAGCGACAGGAAGGTTGTCTAGCCGTTGAGCTAGCTCATTGCTGAAATGAAGACGGTGAGCGGACAAAGACAACAAAGCAACATTCAGCTTACCTGGGGGTCGCTTACCTTGTGGTCTCCTGCGAGGCTGTAGGCGAATACGCATCTTCGAGATGACGAGGCGATGGTCGGTCCACCCGTCAGCACCCGCGATCGCCTTCGTCACCAGCACGTCCCGCTGGTCTCGCCTCCGGACGAGGACATAGTCCAGCAGGTGCCACTGGCGCGACCGAGGATGCCTCCAGGTGGCCTTCTCTCGCACCGGCAGACAGAAGAAGGTATTCGTCGGGCTGAGGCGGTGTTCTGCGCAGGTGCGGAGGAGAAGCAGGCCGTTGTCGTTGGAGCCGCGGAGACCGTGAGGACCCAGCACTCCCCTCCAGGCAGTATAGTCTGTGCCGACGCGGGCGTTGAAGTCGCCAAGGACAATCAACTTGTCCACCTTCGACACAGTCGCCAAGAGTGCGTGCAGGTCCTCGTAGAAGTTGTCTCTTGCGGCGGCATCGGGGCTGGTCATCGTCGGAGCGTAGGCGCTGATGATGGTGGCGAACTTGCCTCCTCGCCGGAGAGGCAGGCGGAGACTCATCAGGCGGTCGTTGATTCCCTGCGGCAAACAGGGCAGTCGTCCCACGATGTCGGTCCGGATGGCGAAGGCGACACCCGCGTCTCGCCGCCCTGCCCTGGGTCGAACACTCCAGAAGAAGGTGTAACCGGCACCCACCTCCTCCAGTTGGCCTTGTTCGGAGAATCGGGTCTCGCTGAGTGCGGCGATGTCCACCTTGTAGCGCGCCAGTTCTCGTGCCACTAGCGCCGTCCTCCGTTCCGGTCGGTTGTTCCTCGGATTGTCTAAAAGGGGACGAACATTCCAGGCTGCCAGAGTGAGCGGGCTCACCCTGCCAGTCTGGTGACAACGAGTGGGGCGACGGGAAGGAGGTGGAGGAGAGGATGACAACGGAGAAGAATAGGCAGAAGAATAGACGGAGGTAGAGGAGGAGGTAGGATGTGAAGAATGAGTATGGTTGTTGTCGTTGTAATTGGTATTGTTGTTGTTTCGATTTTGATTGTTTTGACCGTGTTGATGGCATCTGCGGCCTTGGCTGGCCTGCAGACTGCGTGGTGCCCAGCATTTTTAGACCACCTTTTCTAGGCCCTTCCACTCGTGGGGGCAGGCAGTGCCCTCCCTGAATCGGGCTGCGCATGTGCCTGGTTGGCGCGACCGAATCCCACTATGGGGCCACGACTTTTATGTTCGTAGTGGAGAATGACCGCATGTGCCGTGAGTCCGCGGTCTCCGTCGGCGAGGGCGGGCGCGTCTCAGCGAAGGCGATGCAGAGACCCGTCCCGGCAGCAGTTATCCAACGGCGTACCAGGCAGAGCCTCGTCTCGACGATGCCGGCGCAGTGTTTCATCAGACCATCCGTCCATGGGAGTCCGCGGTACGGTGTGCACTCGGCACAAGTGCACAGTGCCCTCACCTGGTTTAGCCCGCCGGTCGAGACGGTTGCCCGGGGTGTGGCCGCTGAGCAGAGCCCAGCTACGTGGAGCCACAGGTGAGAGTTGGGTGCCAGCAAATGGACGCTAGGCGTAGTCTCACCTGCAAGCAAGTGAGCGACTACTACGTCCATCACGTGAACCCACCGATCCCTGATAACATTTCTGCTCAGAATCTGCGCCGAATCTAAGCCGAGGTTTAGAATAATCTACGCCGAATCTGCGCCTAGTTTGTCACTCAAATCGCCTCAGAATCGGCACAGAGGCTCGGCACAGAATCGGCGCAGATGATCGGCACAGAATCGGCGCATAGGCTCGGCACAGAATCTGCGCCGAAAATTTCTAATCTCGCGTTGTAATCGTGCAGAACCCCCCTTTAATTTCTCAAAAGTCCCACTGCTTAGCTGTTTCCCCTATTTTCATGCCCATAATGCTAATCTAATATCTCGTAAATAGTTTGAATGAAGACGGGAAATAAGTTTGTTGGTTATTACAATTTTTTGTAGAAAAATAGTATGTACAAAATAGATATGTAGTTAAAAGTGTTAGAAATCTAGTACAAAATAGATATTACGTAAAAAAGTATCAATGTCTTTCATCAAACGGTCATAACAGATCGCTCTAAGGCTGTGACGAAGAGCCTGACGGTCCCGGACGAGGAGTATCTTCGTCATCCTCGGCAGTGTCTAAAAAGTGCACTCAAGTTAATGTGTGTCATAGTAAATAATAGATGCATGACGTATGTTTATGAAATGGTAACTAACCGTCCAGTGGGCGTGACGAAGATAGCTTAGTAGTCCGCTTTTGTAGCCGGTCGTAGGCCCTTCTGAACATTAAACGGAAGCATTTCTCCAACTCATGCCGATCTGACGGGTGATCTGAATTCCACCTATTGAACACCTCTATGTAGAGGGTTGGTAAATGGGAAAATTATGTTTTAATACCTAGGACGAGTGAGTAGGTTGGGGAGCCGAAGAACGCACTCTTCCCCTGTTGTCGACCGTAAAAAGTCAAATAATGTGTTATTTCATCTTGAAATAGGGCACTGAACACGCGGTCGACGAATGCGCTTAATGTCCGGCCTCCAAAACTACCTAAGTGGCTGACCTATCCGAGAAATAAGTAGGTCATAAGACACTTACCATCTGCTGCCGAAATTCGGTGTCCGTCAGTTTATTTGTAAATGTTTCTAAATCACTCAAGCAAGCCATTCGTCTAAAAGGTGCAGCCGCAGACGTTGAAGTGGATAAGGAAATGGCTGCACTGGCACGTCCTTCGGCCTGAGCATCCAACTTCAACTCAACGCGCACTAGTCGCTTAGTATTCTCTTTACTATTATTTATCAGCCACCGTAGCACGCCTCTAAATTTCCGCCACATTTCTCGGGAGGACATGTGTCTGCTTTTGCTTTCGGTTCTACTCATCTTATGCCCTACGAAAGGCATAATAGAATGAAAGGTTATTACCTTTGGATTTAGGGGAGGCCACCAATGGCAATGTAGAGCTGGACTCGGAGTTTTCTGATTGCGAGTGCTGTAGACAACGGAAAATTATGTAATTAACATTCATACTGATGTCGTCGAGAGGTTTAATTCATTTTCCCACATGTCATCATCGTATGGGTTCCTTGCTGACCGCCTGGGCCTCTTCTTTTTAGGGCTTTCTTCCTCTGAAGACATGATACTCTACAACCCAACAGGAAAAGTGGAGTGTGGGTAGGATAAGAATATGTAGCTAATCACTGCCTCCCTTCACTGCCCACGAAACAATAGCTGAGGGACTGTTGGGTTGTAAGTTTCGTGGGTAGTGACCGAGTTACGGTGAGAAGTACAGTGAGAACAGGAGCAACTTGCGTGAATAAGAAGAAATGGATCCGTCCAACTCAGTCATCGAACATCCGAAAATGTCCAGTCATCAGAGTCCCAGCGGTCATTGATTTCAATCAGAACAAAGTGATCCTCCAAGGTCCATATGGACACCCCTACACCCCGGCTCTCACCGAACCACCACATACAAGCGCATTAGGAGCGAGATGAAGGCATATTATGAGGCCACTGAAGAGCCTGAGTCTGAGGTTCCCTCAACGTCGACAGCAGTTGGTAGTCAATCCCCGAACGAGAAATGCCTATTCTGAGCTCTGAAACTTCTGCCGGCAGGTGTTATGCGTGTGCGCCTCAGGGAACTCATAATACAGGTCGATATTTTAAAGGAGTGCCAAAAGTGGGTGGAAATCTGGCGTCCCGTACGAATTTTTTTCGCTGGTGGGGCCAGGCGGGGCTGTCGTGTTGATTTCACCGCCACAGCCCCTTCTACAGCCCCACGAAGCCCCTTCATAGCCCCCTTCTAGCCCCGTCATATATGAGGGGGTTACGCGCGGCTGGTGCTGCCAGGGTTAAATATAGGTTGACCAGGCCCAAAGGCTAGTTGGTCTCCTTACCAAATGGCCATTTTGCGTCAATAACCTTGATCCTCTGCTATTCCCGCGTACATAGGTACAGCTGTGCATTTTATTTCGGCGGTGGGGCCAGGCGGGGCTGTCGTGTTGAATGCCCCGCCAAAGCCCCTTCCTCAGCCCCGCCTAGCCCCTTCATAGCGTCCTCTAGCCCCGGCATCTTTGATGGGGCTAGGCGGGGCTAGGAGGGGCTGGTGCTGGCTAGTGGGGTAGGGAGGGTAATTGCCTGAAACTCCGCCGACAAACTTCAGTGTTCGTAGTTCTCAGTGCCCTTAGTGCAACTCGCAGGCAAACCCAAAAAGTGGAGATACAAACGGAAACCAATTGCTGATGCCACAAGGGTACTTGACGATACCAAGCCAAAGATCAAAAACCTGTCAGGAGTGGGATTCGAACCCACGCCCACAGAGTGGACTGCGACCTGAACGCAGCGCCTTGGACCGCTCGGCCATCCTGACACGACAGCGGGTGCTAAAATACTAACTAATAGCAATATTGTTTAGGTCATTAAGCCATCTAACATCTCGGTTCGAGTTAAAAGACTGACAAGTGCAGCATGTTTGAGCTCTTCTTTCACTGAAGACTAAATTCCCTTCCCGAATAAACCAAAGTTTTTATTTATATCTCCTAGTCGCCAAAAACGAATTCCTTCAGTGCAACCACCCTTATTTTTGTTCTAAATTCTTGAGACATGTCATTCGTTCCTAATCTACGACGTTTAAACGCGCTTCCCCTACCTATAGAGCTTACGACTTCCAGAATGAGGCTTTCGCCCTTGAGCTCCCTATTCATATCGATAAACAGAAATAGTCATCAATTACATTAGCAAATGCGAAAAGTTAAGAAGTTAGCGGCAAGTGTGAGCTAGGCGCAAACTGCCGCCGCTAAAATAATCATTATTGTATATACAGTAGGTTCTCAACAAATAAGCGTCTAGTCCACACTTAAAGGATTTACCACTTTCGGAAAGAACGACGGCGTCAGGGAGTCCATTCCAAGCCCCGATGACCCTGTGAGAGAAGGCGTTCCGTCGGACGTCCGAATGAGCCCGCTTCCTTCGCTGTTTGAACGGATGACCACGCAGACGGTCAGTCCGGGCCAATTCAAAAAAATCATCAAAGTCTAGGGCACACTCACGGCTTCTGACAATCCTGTAGGTTTGAATGAGATCGCCGCGCAGTTGCCTGTAATTTAGAGGGAACAGATTTAGTTCGGTCAGCCTGGTTTCGTAAGGCAAATTATGAAGATTCTTGACCATCTTCGTAGCCATCGCCTGTACTCTTTCCAGTCTTCGATAATCTTTCTTCAACCACGGTCGCCAGGCCTGGACTGCGTACTCTAAGTGAGACCGGCCGAATGCCCCATAGGTTTTCCCGAATAACTTTTTATCGATCTGCACAAATCCTCGCCTCAGCGCAAATAACACCCTTATCGCACTTTTGGCTGCCCTTTGACACTGCGAAGGTGGTTTTAGCGAGGAGGTCATTGGGACGCCCAGGTCTTTCTGTTCCACAACATTTGAAAGGGGCTGACCACCAAGGACGTATTGAAAGGAATCGTCCTCCTTACTGGTCCGTCTGGTGCGGAGTCTCAGGACCACACATTTGTCCACATTAAAATGGAGGAGCCAGCGAGCTGACCAACTGTTCAGGCGGTTGAGACTGTCTTGAAGCGCGTACCTGTCTGCATCAGATCTAGTGGGTCTCCACAGCTTAACATCGTCAGCAAACATGATGGCGCTGCATCCCAGGTCGTCGACGCAGTCGTTAATGTAAACCAGGAATAGCAACGGCCCTAAGACGAAGCCCTGGGGTACACTACTTAGAACGGGAGTAGAAGTTGACCTCGAGGCCTCAATGCACACGGTTTGCGATCTCCCGGTAAGAAAATCTGTTATCCATGTCAGCAGCGTTCCTCTTATCCGAAATTCAGAAAGTTTGTAGATTAGGCGTTTGCGTGGGACGCTTTCGAACGCCTTCTTAAAGTCTGTGTACATGACATCAACCCTCCCATCCTCGTCCAGTGCGTAAGTCCACTGCTCCGTCGAGAGCAATAACCTGGAAAGACACGAGCGGTTCTGTCTAAAGCCGTGCTGCCGGTCTGAGATTAAATGGCCCTGCTCCAGGAACATCATTGTTGCTTTCTTAACTATGGCCTCCATTATTTTACAGCAGATACAGGTTAGACTAACAGGCCAGCATTAGTGCGAGCCCCGCCGTTGTATATCGGAAAGATGTTTGCTGTCTTCCATTCCGATGGTAACCTCCCTAATTCGAATAACGAGCGGAAGATGTGCGCCAGTGGTTTGGAAAGTTCATTTGCCAGTTCCTTCAAGAATTTGGCCGGTATATTGTCCGGACCCGAGGACTTTGCTTCTTTGAGATTTTCCAGCTCCCTTTCCACGACAGCTGTCGGGAAGAGTATGGAGTCAAGCACGGGACCAGCAGTCTCAACAGCATTTCTAGCACTGCGACTGCGAAACTCTGTTTCTCTAGTAAAAACCGAGGCAAAATACTATCCTAAGTGTTCGGCTTTCTCGCTGTTCTCAGTGATCTCTACACCATTACCATACTTCAGCACCGCGACCTGGTCCTTATTTTTCAGTCTACTTTTCAGATAGTGAAATAAAATCTTAGGATTCTGTTCAGCCTGTCGTATAATTTTGGATTCATACTCCTTCCGTGCCTGACGGATACATTTTTTGACGGCGTTTCGTTGACGACGAAATTCTTCGAAATGCGCTGGTAGCAATGAGCGGAACCTACATATTAGGAATACGCTCAGTATTGTCTCTCTCAACGCAAGATCTGTCGTGCAAAAGATGGCACACCTAAGAAGTGTAGCTGTTGAGTTTGACACAGACGTATTGTGCATTACTGAATCTTGGGCCCACTCTCTAATTTCAGACTCGGCACTTAACATAGATAGCCTCAGTTTATACCGCCAGGACCGTGCCGACAGACGCGGCGGTGGATGCCTTCTTTACATAAGAGCATCACTTGCACAATCGCCTTATAACTTGGACATTTCCTCCTTCTCTGGAAATTTATGTTTTGCTTCGGTAATCCTTCCGCAAAATAGGAAAGCCTTAGTCGGATGTGTATATAATCCTCCTTGTTCCTCCGGAAATGAAAGCCAACTTTGTGAACTCTTTGAAAAAATTGCAGAAACTTCTTTCGATGTCAAGATAATCGTAGGCGATTTTAATTTGCCAGAAATTGACTGGCACACACATACTTCTCCTCCTAAATTCCAGAAGCTGCTTGACACAATTTACTTTTCAAACCTGACTCAGTTAGTTCACTCTTCGACCAGAAACGATAGTGTTTTAGACTTATTTTTTACTAATGGAACCTTCCCTTTATCTATGGATTTTTATCATGACCTCTTTGCAAGTGATCATGCATTAATTCATTGTCGCCTTCCAGTTGCCATTTCCGCAAAGCCAACAGTTCAACGTAGTATTTTTGACTTTGCTAATGTTAATAAGGAATTAGTAAATAACTTTACATGCACTCTTGATTGGCACAATATTTTTTCAAATAATGATCTAACTTTTTTCAACAATTTATTACAATGCGTAACAGAAGGTCTTCTTGAACTTATTCCTCGGAAGATGTTCAAACCGAGTGCTAATTCCACCGCTATCCCACGCTTCCTTAAAAACAGACTTAAAAAGTTACGGAAGCAGTTTAAAGATCCTTCTGTGAGCTCATTATCTGTTCATCTAAGAATCGTTGAAATATTTGAACTAGCTTCGAAAATGAGGCTCGAGCGAGATAGGCGTAGAGAGCCTTTAGCTATTAATGACATGAATTCTTCTAAATCAGTTGCTCAGATCTTCCGTCAGAGATCATCTGCTAAGTCCCACCAAGTCATTCCGCCCTTGCTTAGTGCAAGTGATGCCTTCATTAGAGAGGAGTCAGGCAAAGGAGAAATTTTATATTCGTTTTTTTGCCAAGCATTTCACCATTGAAACTGATCCGATCCCTTTAATTCCTTCGTTGTCTGATGCTTCTCTGAGCTTCATTAATTTTTCTCCTGAATGTATTCAAAAACTGATAAGCCATCTTCCTAACTCTCACTCAGTAGGTACGGACAATATCCCAAACTATTTGATAAAACAGCTAAGAGATTTTCCTCCTCTGCTTAGCAAAATCTTTTCAGTATTTCTCGTAAATGGCTTCTTCCCTGAATATTGGAAAACTTCTATTATTATTCCAGTATTTAAGTCTGGCTGTCGTTCTGACGTACAGAACTATCGAGGTGTCCATAAAACACCCTCTCTCGCCAAAATCTTCGAAAAACTTATCGCCGTAGAAATTACCGAATTTTGCATAGCCAATCAAGTTATTAGCCCTTCCCAGCATGGTTTTTTACCAGATCGCTCTTGTGAAACATGTCATCTGTCGTTTCTCGATCTACTTACCTCTCTTCGTAATGATCACCTATCTGTTGTCGTAATTTATTTTGATCTTAGTAAAGCCTTTGATAAAGTGCCACATAAAAGACTCTTGGTTAAATTGAAAGCTATGGGAATTCGCAGTCCACTAATAGACTTTCTCAGGTCATACCTGTCTAATCGTAAACAAAAGGTTTTGGTGGGATCTTCACTTTCCAGTGAAAGTCCTATTGTGAGCGGTGTCCTACAAGGTACCGTTTTAGGTCCTCTTTTGTTCTTGCTTTACATAAATGATATTTCAGCCGCAGTTAAACATTCTCAATCATTTATTTATGCCGATGATCTCAAATGTGTATATTCTTTCGAAAAATCTACGAGCCTTCATTGCCTGGAGCAAATCCATGCTGACTTGCTTGCTCTCTCAGCTTGGAGCTCAAAATGGCTAATGGAATTCTCTCCGTCTAAATGTCGTTATATGTGTTTTGGACCTGATAGGCTACCCCAACCTGTGGTCTTTCAATGAACACCTATGACTGAATGTACCACCATCAAGGATTTAGGTTTAAGCTACACTAGTAATCTTGATCTCTCGCCGCACGCTGACAGAATTACAGCCAAAGCTGCTCAGAGTTGTGGCTTTATTTCTTACAATTTCTATCTTCCTGAAATTAAATTAAGGCTCTATCGTATGTTTGTACTTCCAATTCTCGAGTACTGCTGTCCATTCTTTGGTTTGATGAATGAAGCCAGTCGTTTAAAAATTGAAAATGTCCAAAGACGTTTTTCTAAAAAACTTTTGGATAGGGAACATCCCAATATCTCCTACTCAGATAGATGTCAGCTAATTAACCTAAAATTTTTATGGGTTCGAAGACTAGAAGCGGGCCTCTATCTCCTCTTTCGCATTAATAATAGTTCAAATTTTCCTCGAATTTCAACACTTACCCCTAGTAGTCGCCCATACAATCTTCGCAACTCGTCTCTAATTATACCTCTTCCAGTGTCCTCCACCTCTAAGCGCTCCCTTTTATTCGCTTCCAGGTATACTTTCCTCTGGAATAACCTTCCAATAAATATAAGATCTTCAGAAAATCTACACACCTTTAAGAGAAGGCTACGCCTCTATCTGAATACTGACTCGATTAAACTTTTATTTTCCTCATCCTTCCCAGACAACTTTTTCTATGACACTGAGAAAGGGCCACCGGGAATTTAGCATGCCGCTATTAAATTTCCGTATCTGTTCACGTTTCCTTCCTTTATGAGTAGTCTCGCTACCTAAGATCCCTCACCAGAAATGTTAATTATTCCAATTTTTTAGTTCATGCATCGTGCCCTCACAGAATGCGCGCCATCGACGCTCTTGGCGAAACCTTCTGTATTCGCCATATACTAGTAGTTTGGTCGCATCTCCCTTCCCCCATGTTCGGATGGACTCGGTTGAATGAAACTGACCGCATCTGGGTTCCTATCGGCTTGAGACTGGTTTTCAATTTCGACACTTATTTTTCTTATTCAAGGCGATACAGGCCAGTCCTGACCGACCCGCCTACGTACCATTTTATGAAACCCGTTACGCAATGCCATATACAGCTGACATTTATTTCGGCCATGTTGATGTTGGTCTATATTCCATTTTGTACCGCCACATGCAGGCCAGTCCTCCCTGTTTTTTTCTGATGCTATTTTTCTGAGGGTTTTTTTCATTTTGCTGTGGAGTTTTTTTTTCACCCCTCGTTTTTTTCATTTTCATTTTGCTTAACGGACTTCTAATCTCAAAAACTATGCATTGCACTTTGTGCAGATTTTGTCTACATCGTCTAAAATTTGCATGTAAATTTATTTTTACTTGCTTTGATGGGACCCCGACGGGTCTTTAATAAAAATAATTGAATTGAATTGAATTGACGCAGTTTCCCTGAATATTTTCCATCTTTTGCTTTTCCTCCGTAGCTGCCTATTTAGGTCCCTAGTTAACCAAGCAGGTCGACTAGTTGTTTTTTGTATTTCAGGTGGACAACAGCGCCTAATCAGATCGAGTAAAATCGTTTTAAAAGATCTCCAGTCGTCCTCCGGATCTCCCCATGAGTATTTGGTCCCAATTCACGGACAGCAATTCGTTCTTCATCATATTAAAATCTGCCTTCCATATATTACGTTGACCCTCTGTTCTCTTCTGGCGTTTAGAGAAGAGCGAGTAATGCCATAGTAGCGAAGTATGGTCACTTTTCGCGAGAGGTGCATTGGAATACACTTCTTCGATATTGGAGAAGTCTTTAATGAAAACTAGGTCTAGACTATTTGCTCTCTGGTTCTCTCGAAATCTTATTGGTACCTTCACATGTTGCGGCTAACATTTTCGCACCTCTTCTAAATTCCCAAACCCTTGAACTGTATTTATGGAGGCAGACGACCAAGGCAAATTTCTCACCGATCTGAACTGCATTTGCCATAACAAAACACGGAAAGTGGATGTGCTGGATTCGTCGGGGTTGACCTGTAGAATTGCGAGGTCAAGGTAATCACTCACAAGCAATCGAGGCTAGGGGACTTATCTCCTAGGTTATTTTATAGACAATGCAGGAGTAGTTCCTGTTGGATACGAAGACAGTGAGCAATACCAGTGTGTGCTCACAGACAATTTGTGTCAAGAACGCATTCCTTAACTGAGTTAGGTGTCTGCGAATAGTATTTAGTGGGTTTATATACATTTGAGATTACTTCGATGATCCACAGCAGTTTTCTTTGGTAAAGGTGTGTACGGCTGACCTTGACATCACTATCAGCAAGGCACCTTTGGAGAATACACTCAATAAGATTATCTGCTTTCCACAGGGACCACACTGCATTTTAATAGAACTAATTGACAGTTTTTAGGAAGTCACTTACTGTTCTTTCGCCCTCACGAACAGTGTGCCTGAGCCCTACAAACGCACAGTCTACATATTGAGAGGTTTGCGAGCACTGCAGGGAAGAAGTGGTCATAGCGGTAGAATATATTCTACTTTTGGTCGTGTACACCCATAACCCTTACTTTTACCAAGTATTACCCACCCTCTAAATATAGTGATTGCGCCGACAACTCAAACATGTCCCGATGTCTACAGTAACAAGGTCAATGGACAGCAAGTATTAGCATGTGGTAGTTTATTGAACATGTAAAATAAAAAAAAGTGGTGGAGTAGTATGTGCAGGGGGCATATGAGATACATATATGTATTGCCCAGTCAATTAAACGGTATTCTGTTGACGGAAGTTTTCATCCACGGCAGGCTCCTGAAAGAAAAAAAAGACAGTTAAAATAATAAATCAATAATTCTTTTCATTAGCATATTAGGTAATATTTTTGTTTTACTAAACGGCATGCGTGGTGTATCCTTTAAGTTGCCCTAATGTCACGAACCTTCCCAATCAACGGTATTTTTTGCTACTCAATACTTTTATTTCCTTTTTCAGGGCCACGTGGGCTGCCGTTTGTTGGAGTGTTCTCTGGTTCCGGCAAGCCTGAGCCTTTGGATATATTTCTTGGCCAGTGCATCTCAGAACTGAAGAATATTCTGACCAGCGGACTTCAGGTCCCGGATACGGATGACGTAGTTAGAGTTGAGCTCGCCAACGTCTCTGCGACACGCCTGCTCAGTCCTACGTCCGGCAAGTAAAAGCGCATAATGACTATTACGGCTGCAACAGGTAATTGACATAATGGACGAAAATGTAATCCTCCTAGGTGTTGTCATACGGGAAGGCCCGTGGCAAACCGCATGACGTTCCCCGTACACAGCGGGCGTTTGCGAGATGACAGGCCATTCCGCATGAGAAGTCAGGAGCATCATCACAAAGGCAATTCGCATTTCGAGGACTTGCCTATTGATATGGTTTCTACCTTTTCAATTGACTACATGCACCTTGTGTGTCTTGGTGTCATGCGGAAGCTCCTGCCTGTGTGGCGGCCGGCTATTAGGAAACAGTCCGTCACAATTAATGCCTCCATAAAACAATGCAGTTAATGTTTGCCTGCTGAATTTTCACGCAAGTGCAGACCTCTTGATTGTCTGGAATACTGGAAGACCGTGGAATACCGACAGTTCCTCTTGTACATAGGTCCTGTAGTCCTAGCTTTCCATCTGGATTCCTCCCGTTATGAACATTTTCTCGTTTTGTTTGTTGCCGTTTTTATATTTTCCCATCCCATTTTGCGCAAATCCTTCATTGATTTTGGATGTTTGCTATTAGATAAATTTGTTTCCGACTTCCCAATATTATACAGTCCTGTGGATCTTGTTTATAATGTTCATTGTTTTGTCCACTTCCACAAGGACGTTGGCCGTTTTGGAGTCTTGAATAATTTTTCTGCTTTCCCTTTTGAATCTTTTTTTTACAAACCCTTAGCAGTACTATCAAGGGTCCCAGTAATATAGCCGCACAGGTGTACAAACGTTATTCTGAGAGACGTTTACCTGAGTTGCCAACTAGCTCACTGCTGTTGGCCGAGGATGAGGGGATACCACGGACGTTTCAGTTGCCGCGCAGGTCGACCGCTATTCTTCACAATGGCTGCGTACTGTCCACCGAGGCGCCTGATAACGTCGTGCTTGTAGGAGAGCGACCGTGTGTACTGACATCTGTGTCGGTTTCCGAAATAACATACCGCCCCTTCGAGGAATGCGTTGACCTTTTTACCACCTCTGTTTCTTATTCTTCTTCTTCTTCCTCTTCTTCTTCTTCTTCTTCTTCTTCTTCTTCTTCTCGTTTGTTTATTTTCAAAGCCTCCCGTTCTTCGAGCAGCACAAAAACTGCCTCCCTCAGTGACATTGCTTGTTAATATGTTTCTTTTCATATTGACGAACAGTTTTACTTAATCCCCCTGTTGCACACCTTTAATGTACAGTGACTTAATTTGCACGTCCATCCCCCATAAACCAAACGTCCCTGCAGATGTATTCAGTTGCTCAATTTGTCTGCGATGAATCATTGGCCGTTGTTGCGAAATCATGATTCATTGGAGATCAGTTAGTTGCCTGGCCGAAGGACCGGGAAATGGAGCGTCTGCCGGAGGCTAATCAACGGCCATCCTATGGCGCAAAGCTGTATGAAGTTAAAGTACTCAAGGACGGCCTCGATCTTGATAAGGCGCGCAGGTTAGCCCAAAATGCGGAACACAGACAACCTTTCCGCGTCAGAACCGGCTACATTAGGAAGAGGCATGAGGACAAAGTACGTTGCCAATACATTACCTATTTTTTCATAGATATCCCCGAAGACTGACGTCAGATTCGAACGACGACGACGAACTGCGCGACATACGAGGGCACACAAACGGACGGTTAGGCCCATGGCCCGTACCTCCAGCTGTACTCCGGTTGGCCTCATTGGCTTAAACGAACTTCAGGCCAACAAACGATAATATGCCGGGTCCCTCCTACTCTCAACCACGACAAGCAGGAAAGACATCTTATCAGTCATCATGCCTTATCGCATTGTCCCATTAGGCTGCCAATCGATGAGAACATACCTCCTCCACCACAACAATTGTTCCAAGAAATCAAACAGGAGTTGGCATATCAAAGGTAAATCGATTAAAACCCTTTAATATTATATAGGAAAAAATTTGACTTCATTTCAGAGGAAATGGTCTGGGTGAAGACCAATATACAAGATATCAAAGCCACGCAAGCCGACAATCGTCGAGCGTTGCAAGCAGTTAGCTTTGTTTCGAAAGAGAAGCCTCCCCTTCTACAGCTGCCTTTGCGGACTGCCGAAGCGTATAAAGACTTTCTTACGAAAATTGGATCGGACAATGACCTAGCCCAGGAAACGGTATGTAAACAAGCTTAGACACTCTTTATGGCTTATAGGCAAAACATTTGTCCACCGTGGGAGGAAGGACTGAAAAGGAGTTCATACGTAATCTTCTGACAGCCCTTTTGGGACCTCCCCTTGCCAAAGTTTCTGTTGGGTTGGTTCTAACGACAAGCAGTCTTTCGTGGGGAGCCCGCTGTTCAGCGTCCTTGGTGGTCTGTTTATTTTGTTTTTTTCTAACACCTGCAGATGCAATACGCGGCAATGAGCAGTACCGTAGCTGCCATTCAGAAGTAATTAGGCAAACAACGATTGAATGGCTCCACAGAACCCGAGATCGATACGGAGGGCGAGCCAAACGGCGCCGCACTGCTGATATGGTACTTATTTTTCTAACAAGTTATTACAACACATTGATTTAGGGTTCCCTAGAACATTCAGCGAGCAGCCTTGACTTTTCGCAATCAATATCGGAAGACACAGTAACTTAATACTTCCAATGTAGCCTGCTATGCTACGATTTTTAGTATAACTTTCACTAACCTCTAATTAATAGCAGTATTATTTAACATTAATTAGTCTGCTATTATGCGCATAATTTTCTTATGCATACATGTATGCGCGGGATATCACACGATGTGAGTTTCTAACAGCAAATTAAATATTTATTTTACAGTTAGACATATGTTTATTTACCGGATACTTCTTTCTGACATACTTTCAAATTCATTAATACTGATTTAAATTTATATCAGTATTTAATTCTATATAAAAATTCAGCAGGGTCTCACCTTCCCGCTGGGTTCTATTGAAGAACCGCTGTTGTTCCGCGGCCTGGCTGGACTCTGAATGGAAAATCTGTTTAAGGGCTCCGAAGTATTCCTCGAATGAGCAGAAAGGAGAGGGAGCCAGCCCATCTACCTTGTATACAAGTTCGGGGGCGAGGAGGGATTTAAGTGTGGTCTTCCTGAAGTTTTCGGGGACCAACTCTAAGTACGGCCCTGCTAGAGAGATCCATTGGGCCTGGTTGTCGCCTTGACGTAGGATCGGGGATTGTATTGACTGGGGAGTGAAGGCTGGTGTGGTGGATGTCGGGTTGGTGGCGGGGATAGGACAGGCTTTGGCCGAGGGCGTTGTTGTATGTTTTTGAAGTGTGGGGTAAGGCACGAATAGGTTTCAAAAGGGGCGAAGGGCGAAGGAGGGCACGCCGTTGTGATTTTCGGGGGTGAGCCAGGAGTTGGCGTGGGTTCCCGGACGGGAGCTTTCGATCCGGACATCGCTGCCACCAAATTTGTAATACTCCAGATAAGATGGGAACAAACAGTTCACAACACACACACACACTGATGTGGAATGTGGGGAGCGATGATGAGAGTTTATTTTCTATTGATAATGAAACACACAAAGCGCAGATGGGCGAAATTGAGATACTGCCAGACTCTTGTCGGAGTTATAGTCAATTGGGCAGACCTAAAGCATAAAAACAAGAAAAAAAGGTTACCAGGAAGGTATGACAATGTACACTTGAAGTGTGGCGTGTGTGACAAAGCCTCCCCCTCTGAAAAGCCACTGTCCTCAGTGGCTGAAGGAAGAAACTTCGACGGTTTGACCAACGGGGATATTGTCACTAGGGATTATGAGCGGTGGGTCAGGGGGTTCGAGGGGATGACCCGCCTTTAACCTGTTAAAGTTGACTATGTGGGTGTTCGGGTTGTCGGTCTCACGTATTCGATAAACGTTGTTGGGTAAGCACTGGACGACGGAGAAGGCGCCGGACCACGGATTGTGGAATTTGCTAGGTTGTCCCGGTGGAGGATTATCCCTGTGAAGCCACACCGCATCGCCTGGTTGGAACGGTGAACCGTGTCTTTGTCGGCCGTAAAAGCGGGCTTGTGATAGTTGAGCTTCCTGCAGGTGTGTGCGGGCCAGCCGTTGACATTCTCGGTGGATCTCTATCAGTCTCGTAATGTAAGATGGGGGCGTGGGAACTCGGGTCGTGGGGTAGGTAGATAGGAGTCCAAAGGGAGTTGAAGTTCGCGTCCATAAGTCGACATAGTGAAGCCCGTTGACTTGTGTATGGTACTGCGGTAGGATAGGAGACAATGGGGAATGAGGGTGTCCCAGATGTCGTTGTTGGCCGAATCTATGAACACTCGTAATAGAGACAAAATAGATTTGTTGGTTCTCTCCGTCTGTCCGTTGTCTTGTGGGTGATATGCTGTGGTCCTCGTTTTCTGTATGTCGAGTCGACTACATAGTTGATGTACTAAGAGGCTTGCAAAGTTGGCACCTTGGTCGGAGTTAATAACATTCGGCACCCCGAAACGGGCAACCCACGTACTCATGATCGCATCTGCGACCGTTGGCGTTGTCTGGTTTGTTGAAAGCCTTTTCACTCCCCAGTCAATACAATCCCCGATCCTACGTCAAGGCGACAACCAGGCCCAATGGATCTCTCTAGCAGAGCCGTACTTAGAGTTGGTCCCCGAAAACTTCAGGAAGACCACACTTAAATCCCTCCTCGCCCCCGAACTTGTATACAAGGTAGATGGGCTGGCTCCCTCTCCTTTCTGCTCATTCGAGGAATACTTCGGAGCCCTTAAACAGATTTTCCATTCAGAATCCAGCCAGGCCGCGGAACAAAAGCGGTTCTTCAATAGAACCCAGCGGGAAGGTGAGACCCTGCTGAATTTTTATATAGAATTAAATACTGATATAAATTTAAATCAGTATTAATGAATTTGAAAGTATGTCAGAAAGAAGTATCCGGTAAATTATATGTCTAACTGTAAAATGAATATTTAATTTGCTGTTAGAAACTCACATCGTGTGATATCCCGCGCATACATGTATGCATAAGAAAATTATGCGCATAATAGCAGACTAATTAATATAAAATAATACTACTATTAATTAGAGGTTAGTGAAAGTTATACTAAAAATCGTAGCACATCGTAGTACATTGGAAGTATTAAGTTACTATGTCTTCCGATATTGATTGCGAAAAGTCAAGGCTGCTCGCTGAATGTTCTAGGGAACCCTAAATCAATGTGTTGTAAAAACTTGTTAGAAAAATAAGTACCATATCAGCAGTGCGGCGCCGTTTTGCCCGCCCTCCGTATCGATCTCGGGTTCCGTGGAACCATTCAATAGCTGTTTGCCGAATTACTTCGGAATGGCAGCTACGGTACTGCTCATTGCCGCGTATTGCATCTGCAGGTGTTAGAAAAAAACATAATAAACAGACCACCAAGGACGCTGAACAGCGGGCTCCCCACGAAAGACTGCTTGTCGTTAGAACCAGCCAAACAGAAACTTTGGCAAAGGGGAGGTCCCAAAAGGGCTGTCAGGAGATTACGTATGAACTCCTTTTCAGTCCATCCCCTAACGGTGGACAAATGTTTTGCCTATAAGCCATAAAGAGTGTCTAAGCTTGTTTACATACCGTTTCCTGGGCTAGGTCATTGCCCGAACCAATTTTCGTAAGAAAGTCTTTATACGCTTCGGCAGTCCGCAAAGGCAGCTGTAGAAGGGGAGGCTTCTCTACCGAAACAAAGCTAACTGCTTGCAACGCTCGACGATTGTCGGCTTGCATGGCTGTGATGTCTTGTATATTGGTCTTCACCCAGACCATTTCCTCTGAAAGGAAGTCCAATTTTTTCCTATATGATATTAAAGATGGGTTTTAATCGGTTTACCTTTGATATGCCAACTCTTGTTTGATTTCTTTCAGCAAGTTTCGTATTGAGGCGCTAAGTTCTCCCCGTCTGGTAACCTAATGCGACAATGTGATAAGGCACGATTACTAATAACTAGTTTTTTCTCCTTGTCTTCGTGGAGAATAGGAGGGACCCGGCACATTATCGTTTGTTGGCCTGAAGTTCGTTTAAGCCAATGAGGCCTACCGGAGTACAGCTGGAAGTACGGGCCATGGGCCTAAGCGTCCGTTTGTGTGCCCTCGGATGTTGTGCAGTTCATCGTTTTAATTCAACTGCTTCCTGTGCGTTTGCAAAGATTGCTATGAGCCAGCTAATTATCAGAAATCCTCCGCGGAAAAGTGTGTCTGCCCTTGATGAAGCAATTTATTACTTCAGAGGAGAAAACGTATCTTCACCTGTAAGTTAAACTGCATGACGCTGTTCTGATTCCTAGAAAATGAATGACAACAACGAAGATGCAAATGGCTCCTACGAACCCCTACCGTCACGAGCCCCTTTGCGCGTTGAGTGTAACAAGCCTTCTTTCAGCGGACTTTTCTGATAACAGCTATCCAACGACTGGCCGATCGACTTAGACAAGGTCATTGCGCTGCTGATCAAACATGTAGCCGGAGTGTCCAGAAAAGTAGACGTACACGTTAAAAGTGACCGTCGGCTTCACGGCCGCATACGGAAATAGGAGGCGCGAGATATTGAACGGCAAACCGCTGGTACTTTGCTCGCTCAGCCGTCGTGAAACCCGTTGCAGAAGCGGACGAGGAAGGCAGTGAAATTTCGCCATTTGCATGCCCTACTTGAGGACAGCGGAATACGCAGCCAACTGGTATGATGTCACTGTCTTCTTACTCACCTGTCTGGGGGTGGGGGATTCATTTGGACGACTTTGTTAAGCGCATCTTCTTTACGCTTCTTTTTAGAGATTAGCATCAACGTTGACTTTAAGTGACGGAAGCTAATGAACAGCCCCAGTTAGTCGGACATTTATAAAGTCATATTGGGCAAGTTGGTAATTCATTGTTTCATTGTCTACATGTAGACTTTTTCGTTGCGTAGAACAATACTGCGCTGCCAAGCGACTTAAGAGGCCGCTGGGCAATTACGTCACAACGACAATGAGATGCCAAACTAGACAGGTGAGTTAACTTCAAATTTTATAAAAAAATTATCCTGTCCAATAGAAAACAATGCGGGACATTTGGCAGGAGACCGACATTCATCTTCGAAATCGCCAACTGAATTAAATTTTTTTCTAAATTTTTTAATTTAATAAAATCTTTCCAATTCACTTGTCTTCAAAATAATGCCGTTGGCATAGTCGTCGTTTGGCCGTTCAGCTAAAGCGTGCAGTAGCGGGCTAAATAGGCCAGGAATGGGATGACAAAGGCAGTTGAAAGTATTGGGTTTCAGTACGGGTATTGGGTTAAGTAAAATCGGTGTGCACAGTGCCTAAAGTTCCCATATCGCCGTTTCTGGAGTATCGCGAAAAATAGATATCTGCTCGATATCGCCTCGATATAGGTTGCTAGTAGGGGATAGCCGACAATTTGAAGGTTCCTAACCCGGAAGACAGGGAAGACAGTTAGACGGGCAAGGTTTTTTGAGACGACGTATTATACACGCAGCTCGACAAACAATGTCAGCCTGCGTTCTCATCAGACAAGTGTCAGCCAAAGTGCCTACGCTCGCACTTCTTCCGGTTGCGGCCAGTCGGCGAAAGGGGAAATATCGCTCGGCGTCACCGCGTCACAAGTCGGAGGTTGACTCACGCGATTTAAACAGACCGAAGGTGGCATGGGTATGCTGCGGAGCTGGCGACTATGAGAACTGGCAGTTACAGATCTTTATGAGTCATATTGCTGACGGAACTCAGTAGAATTAACAATTAAATATTAGTGACATCCGTACGCAAGGCAGAAAGCATTCACAGGTCGTGATTATCCCAAGGCTTTCGCAGCGCGGAGCATTTGTGGCTGGAAAAAACGAAATGTCTGGATCAACAAACCTTATCTTAACACCCCAGTCAAATCTTGTCGGTGTTAGTGAAGATGCCAATCCCGTTTGGGATTCACAAATCCGCAAGTATCTGATGTTGTGAAACACTACGCTCTTTACCAAGTATTCGGCGGAGAGAGTGCTGGGTTCACAGGCAGGCAGATCGCCGCCGCCGCCGCCGCCGCCGCCGCCGGCGCCGCCGCCGCCGCCGCCGCCACCGCCACCACCACCACCACCACCACCGCCACCACCACCACCACCACCAGCAGCAGCAGCTTAGGCACCTGACAATCGGAAGAGGTGCGTACCTTTCACAAAATGCCACAAAACCTGTCGGCAAAATCATTAAGTCTAATGTGTAAAAGTCGGGCTTTCATTACTTCTGTCATAATAGCGTTCGCGGAGCAGGGCACGAAAGTATTCAATCAGCAAATGGCTTACGAGTGGTCATGAGATACGCAAATATGAAGACGTTAATGTGGCCAGACGTCGGCATGGCACAATAATAGAATAGAATATGTTTATAATAATAATAATAATAATAATAATAATAATAATGATACTTGTATCTAATGCCAGTTTATAGGCATTGTCAGGGAAGCGTTAAGCACAAATCCGGCCAGCAGTGACGAATTTCGGTTTTCTGGGGTTAAAACTTTCTTGGTAAAAAATGTTGGACGAATTCTATTTTCTTCCGCTCAGCAGCACGCATGAGGCTAAACAAAACGAATAGTATTTCAGGCCGGGTCTAACGTACATGTTATAAAGGCTCATTCTAATATCGCTCGTTTTAAATTTTCACAGGATAAACCCGGTCGTTTTCCGTGTTTATTATAGCACCACAGGCGCTTTCGGCCGCCTAAGAACACAGAAAAAACCCTAAAACAAACTCACCCATCTCGGCTGTACCTTTGAATACATTTGCTTTCGATGTCCGCTTAGTCAGTAGAGCTCTAGTAGGGAGTTCTTCTTGAGTTAAAAGTCTGAATTCCAAAGCATGATAATAGCAAGAGTTAGAAAGAAAAACAAGATTTACAGCACAGGAATTTAAGTTCCGTGTTTGGTAGTCCTCGGGGTCACGAATATCACGTCATTCAGGAAAATTGGGGAGCTTTGATTTCGACGAGAGGTTGGATTAACCGTGAGTTGATCAGTTTGGATGTCTGCTACTTGCCCTGTAACAGTCAAAGCCGCAGCCGCCTTCCCCACATAATTGTTTTAAACGACGTTTCCGCCTGACCATTTTTTTCAAAATCATAGTCACAAGGACTGGATCGGGGGATTCATCCTAACGACGCACGTTTAGATCCCGTTCCGTCGTTAAACTCGTTTTGTCTCCTGCATATCCGTTATTCTAGATATCACACGTTACGCGATTTTCCTACCCATGCAAAAGATTTTACATTCAATATTATTGGCGCATATTTTTATACATGGCATGCACATCTTTTTATACTGCGTTTAATTCTTAAAGTTCCGTGAGCCAAATAAGCGTCCTCCACTCTAAATGCGCCAACAAATAAAACTGATCGGGACTATGACTACTTACCCTTTCCATCACGCCTGACACTCCGAAATCCCGACTGTCTCGTGCGACGAGTTGACCCGTCTTTTAGAAGGGATCGAGTTAACAGTGACTCCAGGAGAATCTAAACCCTCTATTCCTGTGAACTGTGAGGGTGATTCACAATCTGCACAACCTCGTTGCCAGTTTTTTGGACACTTGATCTGATCGCGTCGTTCATTTGTGTTTCTCTCGGGCTATATATTGCAATTCATTAGGTGAACATTTATGGGGTTTGAAAAAGACGGCTTCTATAAAATATTTGAAACCCTTGCTCGGCCATACAGGCATGGAGACCTTGGACTGTCAAAGACTGCACCGCCTTGGGAAAGGTCCAGAGACGGGTGACCAAGACCCTGGGAACACTGCCCTATAAGAACAGACTGTAAACCCTCAACCCTGTTCCACTCTCCTACAGGCACCCACGAGGTGATCTCATACTAACCTTCCGCATTATGAATGGCTTGAGCTGTTGCTTTGTAGCCAGTAATTTTTTCACTCAGGTTAGCATACCGACTTTGCGCGGCCGTGAACCAGAACTACGCAGAGATAAAGCGAGAATCAGCGGTCGTCGGTTTTTTTTTCAGCAGCAAAGTACTTACAGCGTGGAACGCCCTGACCACTGATGTTGTTCTCCCCCCGTTGAAATCATCTGAATGCAAACTCGACACGCATCAATCTTCTAACTTACCAGCCGCGCAGTAGTCCGCATAACCGGTCACCGAAGTTACATACAATCAGGCTACTTTCAACAGCTTAGTAGGCGTTCATATTTACTCTTTTTTGATTGACTGACGGCTGCTTGCATTCGCATGTAATTATGTAGACAATCTCTTTTCAATTCTCCCCACTTATCGATGCCTTTTCTGAGACATTTTGTAATCAAATGAAGTTCAAAGACTTTCTCCCATCCCCCCCCCCCTTAATAAAGCTGATCTGAAAATTGAAACCATTTTTGCAACCCCACCCCACTCGATGGTTTACTTTTTGTGTAGCCAAGCCAGACTATGATTCTATTTAGAGTCAACTCTCGGGGCATGGAGACTGTAGGCCGACTGTAGGTGAAAATGTTCACATAACGTAAACGTCCGTCAGTTCAAAGAGCGTCCTCCTACCGGGCTAGAGCCTTAGAAGGCGTCAAGCAAACCCGAGCAGATCTGCAAACGCAAAAACTAGGGGGTGGCTGGATTCCTACCCAAAACCGTGTCGAATAACACCTACTTAGGCAAATATAGTAGGTAGTTCTGAATAGCTAACCTACTCCGGTCATCTACTCAGTCCTTGTCCTTCCGTCTACGTTGTATGCACAACGGTAGCTCAGAGCTACCGCGGACATAGGGCAGACCGGTTCGCATATTCCGTGAGCCAGTGTCTAACAAAATAACAGGGCCTCTGGCGGCTGCCACTAAGGCGAACGGAATCAATCGCAGACGCCTGAGGCAGGACTGATTGTTACTTATAACCTGCCTGCCTGTCAGACAGGACTGTTACGAGTTCATCCTTGGTCAGTCTGCATCAAAATGAATCGTACATCTCCCGAAATCTTGCATGGGGCGAATCTTTTTTGTTTGAAAATAAGCGTCCCTTAGAAGAACACTGCATTTATCTGCCGACATATCGTTAACTGGAGTACATTCATAGGCGTCCTTCTATCAGTGAACCAATGTGTGCCACAGGGAAAACTGAAATATGAGTATTAGTCCTTCCGTTTTAAAGTGGCCAAGAGATCTTTTCTTGCCCTGAAGAAACGATAGCCTTAAAAGGGTTTGGAGGTTATTATGTGCGCAGCAGTTTTCAGCTGGTCCATTCGAAAAATTGGCCTCATGCTCTCCGAAAGATTCCGACTTGACGATTTTGAACAGACCGTATAGAACTAGTGCAGTCTCCTTAAACGACGAACATCTACCAACATAGCGAAAAGTCGGAGAGGTTAGCCATTACATCAGGGCGAAAATGCTGTGATCACGGATACACTAAGAACCTGTTGAAAACACATGCTACTTATTTACAGTAAGTAACAACGTTTTAAGGTTTAGACTATGGAGATGTGCATGAGCACAACGTCCGGCGCGAATTCGAATGGTCGGGGAGTCGACTCCACCCAAAAACACAAGCTTTCCGGATGTGCGGGTTACCTCCTTTTCTGTAGTTGTACAGAGAAACTAATTGCAACTCTTAACTATCAGAATGACGTCCCCTAAATTAGGTCTTTGCTACAGATGACGTTTTTCAAATGTCTTTTATAGTTTCACCAGATGGAAACCTTAAGTTCGTAAATGTTCTCGAGCTGTATTATAAGAATGGGAAAACAATAGCAGACAGAAATTTCGCCGGAAGGCCTTAGGAGAAGTTCACCGTTCTACGGACTTGGTAAAGTTGTTAATTCATACTAGTGATCTTATTAAGCCCTATGTCCGTTTAGTAGTTAGATGTTACATGTCATCGCCAGGGGCTCGACTCCACCTGACGACGCAAGCTTGATAGCTGTGCGAATCCTCCTACTGTCTAAAGTATTTAACCAGAACATAACTGCCGCTCAGTACATGATCCACAACGACAATGGCAGTACCGAAGCGGTTTTGAAGAAACAGGAAGATTTTTACAAATGCTGAAAGGTTGGTCATGACATTTTCGGATGCCAAAGCAGACCACTGTTGAACACAGTGCTCGGGGGTAGTGCGAATC